TTTATCTGGGGATCGGTTGGTGCCTTTGCAGTACTCGTTTGTGTTGTGTTAATCACAATTGCTATCAAACGAATCAGGAGAAAGAGGAACGACTCTTTGGTTATGGTATGATACAATTAGCATAATAAGATAATTAGAGTTATCATAATTAGTATTATGATGTTTGTGTGTTTAGCCTATTCCAATGGATGAAAATAACGATAAATTTGCTTTAAGGGAGGGAAACTGTATAACTACTACAATGAGTGTTGCATTTCCATGTTGACGCAATATGCTTGGAGGAGATATACTTTGATTGTGTCCGTTGTTTCCAGGCACGTATTTATCGTTTCGCCGGCATAAACCTGTAGCTTCTGCAATACGTTCTTGTCAACAAAAATGTCTGCCAAAGCACTTTTGCCCATTTTTAATTTGATTGTCATGATCGATAACGTCATCAGATGTGGAAAAAATGTTACTGGTCACAGGTTAACCAGATTTAACGTAGGCTTTTCATGCTTTCATTTCATTCAGAATATAGCAGCATCAACCTTTGGGCTTCAAACTGCTTCTTTTTGTTTCTTTATAGGAGAGAAACAACGAGAATAATACTTCCATGCTAGAAATTACACCGGGCATCATGAATCAGCTGAGAGATCATAGCCAGCAGATCCCTATAGAAGCGCCAGCAGAAGTGCTAAACTCAGGGGCAGAAGAGGTTGTGGTTGTTGACAATGAGACATATCTAGATCAAATGGAAATTGACAGAAACTGGGAAATTCCTCGAGAAAGACTGGAAATTTTAGAAACGAAACTTGGTGGAGGAGAGTTCGGAGTCGTTAAGAAGGGAAACTATTTGAGAAGAGATGGGAACAAATTACCCGTCGCTGTTAAAATGTTAAAAGGTTAGATACAGTCAGACGCTGTTTCTATTCATAAAGTCATTTGGATCTGGTTGTTCTAAAGGTGTCACGCTATCCACTAGACAAATCTCAGTACTTTGCACAGCGCCGTAAGTTTTGTCAACCATTATCCACTGGATAGCAATTTATCTATTTGATAGCGTTATCCACCCTTTGGACAGCTGTGCCCAGATGGCTAGAGAAGCCTTCCAAAATAAAATTACATTATTACCCAGATCTCCCCTAATCTGTCCTTCAAATCATTCGTAATAGTATTGTTAAGGTGGCCAAGACAAAAGAGAAAATAACCGGGCTGGTTTCTGAGCACTTTGAAATTGTTCCGATTTGCCCAACCATTTTCGCTCTTCGCATTTTACCTCCCTATTCGAAAATCGAGTTTACCTTTGTTTAACAGTTTCTGCCTTTATTTCTAGATACCAATGACCAAAAGCAGCGCATGGCACTAATCCAGGAGTTAGAGATGCTTAAGAAAGTAGGACGCCACAAAAATATTGTGAGCTTAGTTGGAGCATGCTCATTTGAAGGTACATCGAAGTAGATAAAGCTTTATAATCAGGAGAGTATTGGTTTGTTTCTCTTTAGCCAAGGAAGTGGTTTCTTATGTCAACGAAGCGTCCAACTCGGCAGTAAAATCATGTGGTACAAGAGATCTGCTTTAAGTTATAAGAAAATAATTGATAGAGCATAAGAATTAATTTCCTTCTATTACGTAGCAGGAGTGAATGATTTTTTAGCAAGAAAAAATAAATACTTAAAAAAAAATCAACCTATGAAAAACCTGGTAGTCTTTTGGTGAAATATTCAACATGTTCGCATAAGCTGAAAGTGAAATTTGTCAAATGTAACCAACATGTTACATCGCCTTTCCATCGCAAACTCTTCTCTCTCTTAAAATATAAACTTCCAGGTGATACAGCAGTTTCTAATTGACTGTCGTAAACCCAAAACCAGAATAATAAAATCAGCCAATCAAAGCAAAATTTGTTGTCATCATCAGCCAATCAGGACTCAAAGTAAAAGCAGGTAATTCCCAAAAGAGCGGGGAAAATCTGGGCAAACCAATTCACAATTGGTTTTTGTTTGGCATCTCATTAGTTTAGTTTTCTAAACCGATCAGAGACCGAAGGATAACAAAACCAAAGCAATCCCGTATCACTTTCAACACCTAATCGGAATGTATCCTATTTTGAGGTATGTTTTTTAACAAACACCGCGGGAATTGACAACTCTTAAGCTCTCCCATCACTGTTTCATGTCACATACTTTTGTCTTCTAGAACCCCTATGTGTGATTATTGAGTTCGTACCAGATGGAAGTCTGGATCGGATATTGCTTGAGAGCCGTATTCCTGCTCGCACAGAGGATGCAAATTATGCAAACCTTTGGTCTAGACTGTCCGAGAGAGATTTGCT